AGTTTTAGTAGAGACGAGGTTTCGCCATGTTGACCAGGATGGTCTCGATCTCTTGACCTCGTGATCCACCCGCCTCGGCCTCCCAAAGTGCTGGGATTACAGGCTTGAGCCACCGCGCCCGGCCCGTGTGTCTTTTTTTAAGAAAAAAGTTCTCTCTCTGTGACCCAGGCTGGGATGTAGTGGCCTTCAATCCCTGTGGTCAAGCGATCCTCCCACCTCAGCCTCCCAAGCAGCTGAGACTACAGGTGTGTGCCGCCACACTCAGCTTATTTTTATTTTTTATATGTTTTGGTAGAGACCAGGGTTTTACTATGTTGCCCAGGCTGGTCTTGAACTCTTGGCCTCATGCAGTCCTCCTGTCTCAGCCTCCCAAAGTGTTGGAGTTACAGAGGCCTGAGCCACTGTGCCCTGTCCCTCTTAATTTATTTAAAATACACCTAACTGCCAAAAGCAAATATTAGAACATGTTATTGTGGAATTATAATGTATTTAGATGTAAAACATACAACTGTAGCATAAAACGTGGGAATTGGGCCAGGCATGGTGGCTCATGCCTGTAATCCCAGCACTTTGGGAGGCCTAGGTGGGCTGATCCCTTGAGCCCAGGAGCTGGAAACCAGCCATGGGCAACATGGTGAAACTCCATCTCTACAAAAAAAAAAAATACAAAGATGGGCAGGTTGCTCTTGCCTGTAATCCCAGCACTTTGGGAGGCTGAGGCAGGCGGATCAAAGGTCAATAGGTGGAGACCATCCTGGCCAACATAGTGAAACCCCATCTCTACTACAAAAATACAAAAAATTAGCTGGACGTGGTGGTACATGCCTGTAGTCCCAGCTACTCGGGAGGCTGAGTCAGGAGGATCGCTTGAACCCAGGAGGCAGAGGTTGCAGTGAGCCAAGATCATGCCATTGTACTCCAAACTGGGTGACAGAGCGAGATTCTGTTTCAAAAACAAAAAAGAAATAGTGGGAGTTGGTGATAAATGGACCTAAAATGGTTGTAAGGTTTTCATATTCCACATGAAGAAGTAGAATATTAACACTAGGCTCTGAAAAGTAAAGGATGTATTTTCTAAGCCCTAGAGCAAGAATTTAAAAAGTAATGTAGGTCAGGCACAGTGGCTCACACCTGTAATCCCAGCACTTTGGGAGGCTTAGGTGGGCAAATCACCTGAGGTCAGGAGTTCGAGAACAACCTGAACCACATGGAGAAGCTTATCTCTACTAAAAGTACAAAAGTAGATGGATGTAGTGGCACATGCCTGTAATCCTAGCTACTAGGGAGGCCGAGACAGGAGAATTGCTTGAACCTGGGAGGTGGAGGTTGCAGTTAGCTGAGATTGCATTATTGCACTCCAACATGGGAAACGAGCAAAACTCTGTCTCAAAAAAATAAAAAAAATTTAAAATTAAAAAAAAAAAAAAGGCCTGGCATGGTGGCTCACGCCTATAATGCCAGCACTTTGGGAGGCCAAAGCAGGGAAATCACGAGGTCAGGAGTTCGAGATCAGCCTGACCAACATTGTGAAACCCCATCTCTACTAAAAATACAAAAATTAGCCAGGCATGGTGGCACACACCTGTAATCCTAGCTACTTAGGAGGCTGACGCATGAGAATTGCTTGAACCTGAAAGGTGGAGGTTTCAGTGAGCCGAGATTGTGCCACTGCACTCCAGCCTGGGTGACAGAGTGAGACTCCGTCTCAAAAATACTACGAATAATAATAAATGACAAAATAAAATAAAAATAAGGCCAGGTGCAGTGGCTCATGCCTGTAATCCCAGCACTTTGGGATGCTGAGGCAGGTAGATCACCAGGTGAGGAGTTAGAGACCAGCCTGAACAATATGGAGAAACCCTGTCTCTACTAAAAATACAAAAAATTAGCTGGGCGTTGTGGCACGTGCCTATAATCCTAGCTACTCGGGAGGCTGAGGCAGGAGAATCGCTTGAACCCAGGAGGCGGAGGTTGAGGTGAGCTGAAATCGCGCCATTGCACTCCAGCCTGGGTAACAAGAGCAAAACTCCATCTCAAAAAAAAAAAAAAAAGTAAACAGTGAGACAAATAAAATTGTGTAAAACAAGCACTATTCAGGAAAAACACATAAATTTGTCTTCCTGAACATTTTACATGGGAACCAGTACTATCCAGAGCCTAGTGTGCAGGTTCTTGCTCAGCTCAGTCTTTAGGTAGCCCTGCAGAACAAGAGCAACAAGGAGAAATGCAATGTAGGGGGAAGGAAAGTAGGTAGAATTCAGAAGAGCCTTCTTAACTGTAAGGAATTTGAAATATGCAAAGGTTGTAACACAAGAATATTTTGAATCTTCATCTATGGAGAAGAAGCAGGCACCCCCTCAGCAGTGTGACCAGGAGATATGAAAGATATGGCCAGGTCACCTCCCAGGGGTAGGTTCTGTTTTCTGGCAGGAAATGCCTGGCTAGTGTAGGGTTCTATTGTGATGGCTGGCAGCATTCCATAAGGTTCTCTCCTCAGCACTCCCCACTTTTTGTACCAAAGACTGCAAATGCCGGTATCTCCAGGAGCCAGGCAGATCGTATGAATGATTTAAGCAGCCTGGCAGGCATGTGGCAAACTGCAGAGCACATGTTCCATACTGCTCACTCAATATCCATGAGCTGCCCCACATTTCTCAGGCCCCTGATGAGTGCCCTGGGACTAGTTTTGGCAAATAAACGGGTAGTTTAAGTTCCATTTTGCTTCGTGTTGGAAGCATATAAGCACCACAAAGCAGCCTTCCAGCTCTGGCCCCGCGATGGGATCATGTAGAGTGTAAGTTGGAAAAGCAGAGTCATAAAGGGTACACAGCCTGGATCCCTGAGTCATCGCAAGGAAGAAAACTACCCTGGAGAGCTGCCCGATTCACCCTGGACTTTGCTTGGACAATAAACAAATCTTCATTGTGTTAAGTCCCTGACATTTTCTTACAGTGGCCTAGCCTACCCTATGTGCTTTCTTTAAAGGTGACAGGCCTGGCACGGTAGCTCACGCCTGTAATCCCAGCACTTTGGGAGGCCGAGGTGGGCAGATCACCTGAGGTCAAGAGTTCGAGACCAGTCTGGCCAACGTGGTGAAACCATGTCTCTACTAAAAATACAAAAATTAGCTGGGCATGGTGGCAGGCACCTGTAATCCCAGCTACTCGGGAGGCTGAGGCAGGAGAATCGCTTGAACCCAGGAGGTGGAGTTGCTGTGAGCGAAGATCGCACCATTGTACTCCAGCCTGAGCAACAGAGCAAGACTCTGTCTCAAAAAAAAAAAAAAAAGTGACAGTCACAATTCAACCCTAACTCTCACTGTCAAGTGAAATCGGCCTCAGCATTACCAGATCTTCCAGTTTTTCAAGATAAACTAGATATACAAATTTTTTTGTGTGAAACATTCCAATATTTAAAAGTGGATAGTTAATTCAAAAAATTACAACTCTGTGTAGCCCAAATAAAGTGCACCTGGGGCTCCTTTAGTCCATGGGCCACTAGTTGCAACTATGCTCTGCATTTTTTTCCTTAGTGACTCATCAGTTCCCAGAGCTTCTGTTGTCACTCCTGTTCAGATGGGCGCAAAGACCATATCTTTGTGTCACAGCTCCTGATGAGCTCCTGGTGAGCTCAGTGGATGCCTTCAACCGTGTATTTCCTGTATTTCTAGCTTTAGCTTAAATGCTGGAGTGGAGCCCCAGCATATTCTTTTTTTCTTTTCTTTTTTTGAGACAGAGTCTCACTCTTTCATACAGGCTGGAGTGCAGTGGTGAGATCTCATTGTAACCTCCGCCTCCTGGGTTCAAGTGATTCCCCTGCCTCAGCCTCGCCCAAGCAGCTGGCATTACAGGCGCGTGCCGCCATGCCCGGCTAATTTTTATATTTTTAGTGGAAACAGGGTTTTGCCATGTTGACCAGGCTGCTCTCGAACTCATTACCTCAGGTAATCTGCCCGCCTCAGCCTCCCAAAGTGCTGGGATTACAGGCATGAGCCACCTTGCCTGGCCTCAGAATGTTCTTTAGGCTCTCAGTCCTACCTGCCCCCAACAGCCAGCATAAGTGCACACTCTTAGGGGCCTAATGGTTCTTTCTTTTCTTCTTTCTTTCTTTCTTTTTTTTTTTTTTAAAGAGATGGGTTTTGCTGTGTTGCCCAGGCTGGAGCTTTTGGGCTCAAGTAATCCTCTAGCCTCACCCCTCCAAGTAGCTGGAACCATAGGCATGTGCCACCGTGCTCTGCCCTAATGATTCTTTCTCACGGCTTGACTCTTACCTCCTTTTCTTCATACATTTCTTATTCGACATTGCCATTTCTTTATTAGCTTCTGACCCAGTAATTTACTTTCCCATTTATGGCCTAACATTTCTCTTTGGACTTGACACTCAGTCTTGCTCTTCTGGTTAAAATTTTTTTTCCTCAGTTTTTTTTTTTTTTTTTTTT